AAAAACTAGGGGTACAATAATCCCAAATATGATAATTTGAGACCAAGAGACCCTGGCGGGCAAAAGCATTAGCCACAAAATTAGTCTCACTGAACATGTGGTTCAACTTGATGCTACCGAACTTGGAAGCTAGCCACCTCAATGATTCGAATGAGCCCTCTGACCCTCCAAGAAATTAATATTTTAATGAACAGTGTAGGGCCATATCTCCAACTGAGAGCCAAAGGGCCATAAAGCCAAATATAGCCCTGTGACAAAAAATCATCTGTAACCGAGGGCCAAATGGCCGTAGTGCCAAACATAATTTATTATTTAAATTTAAAAATTACAATAACTTAAATTTAAAAACTACAATAACTGGTAGTATCTCCTTAAATGAGTAATGAGGCGCTATAGAATGATACGTTCCAGTGCAACAAACAAGTACCTACAATAGGATTTTGTTGCACATATTTGGGCCAAAAGAAGCATGGAGTTGACGTTTAAGTTTTATGTTGTTAAATGTAAAACTGTTGATTAAGTTTCATGTTGTTAAATGTTTTTTTTTATGTTGTTTAATGTTGTTTCATGTTACTTAATTTAATTTAATGTTGTTTAATGGCTTAGGAAGTTATAGAAAAAAAAAAGTAGAGTTTTAAACTTTGTAATAAAAAAAAAAAAAGAAGAATTCAAATATAACGGCTAACTGACGTCACCCTGACGTTAGCAACTAGCCGTTGCATTCATTGTGGCCCGGCTAGGGGCTGGCTGGATTGGGCCAACTAGTTGGCCTTTGGCTGTTTTTTGTCCTGTAGGGTCCACAAACCCTTTGACCCGGCTCTCGGTTGGAGACGATTTTTGGCCCTCTGACCCTCTAGGCCCTTCGGTTGGAGATAGCCTTAGAGCATACAATAGCCCTTCCCTTAGACACGTAGATCTAACTACATGCAATGAAACATACAAAAGAGATGCGAATACAATAACGATTAAGTAGAACTCCCTAAACATACTTTTACTTTATTAATTCATTAATAATGGTTTACCAAAAAAAAAAAAAAATCATTAATAATGGAGTTTCTTTATGTCACATAGTTTAATTGAGATCTTTTTATTTCAGAATTCATCTGTTAAGAAGACCTTTGTCATCGCTTTAACGTCAATTAAAGTAGGCAAAACAAGAAAATAGTATTTGCAATGAATATCTTCTTTCCAATCTTCATGGATAGATAAGAACATGGTGTTTGTGTCCCTAAATATGAGTTCTGTAGTAGCAAAACTGGGGCCTCTTCTCCTTCCATTCGCCTATCTTTAATTATCCGGAAAATTGACGAAAATATATATATATATATATATATATTTCAAATATATTTCATCCATATTGTAAATAAAAATACATATTGTGTCAGATTCCTACTGCATACATATTTGATCCATCAGGGTTTTTTTTCTAACTTTATACACCCATTTGCTGCCTATAACAGATCTATTTGCTGGAGGTAGTACCAAAATCCGTGTTCCATGTGCCTTTAGAGCATTATATTCCTCTTGCATAGCTAATTGCCACTCAGCTTTAGTGAAAGCCATCCTGAAATCTTAGGTTCTTCAACACTTGTAATATCCGCTATAAAAGAAAAACCACCAGAGACTGAATCCAGAGGTTGTAATGATGTTAACTCAGGTATTTCAGCAAGAAAAGCTGCATAATTCTTCTTTGATATTGCTCCTGTTTGTAGTCTCGTTTGAATACCATGAGATACAGTATCAGATGATGATGATGTTGAAGAGAAAGGTAAGATTACCTGTAACCGTGCTGGATTGAGGGCAGGAACCAAGTGCCCCGAAATATGACCATTTATTCAAGAGATGATCGCCTAAAAACCACTTTCGTTCCTTATTTGAGAATATTGACTTTAATATAACCAATATGTATTACTTTAGTTCTTGTTGCAAAAAGGTGCACAAATAACATAACAAATTATTAAAAATCATAGTAATCCGATCAATATCTCTTAACCATCACTAGCACAAAAAAAAATTCATTAAAGTAAGAACACAAGCAAGTGGTGGATTACCATGATGATCAAGGGCTTCTCTTTAACCCATTACGTCCTAGGTTCAAACTATCTCCCCTCTCTTAGTGTAAATTAACAATCTTAGTTTTAGTTGATTTTTCTACAGAGATGGTTTTTACAAATTGATTTATAATATAAATAGGTTTTAATCATAAGGACGAAGTTTTGTGAATATGCCATGAGCATTTTGAGGAGGAACTACTCCTCAATCCTTGAGGTGGCAAGCTCTCTCTTTTAGTAAGGTTTGTCATAAATTTTTGTCACGATCAATCCGGTCTAGCAATATTTCTTGGGGTAATACTAAGGAGATTAAATATGGAAACTAAATTTTGTAAAATAATTGACATGGAAGTTGATGATTGGAGTATTACTTAAGTATTGATTAATGTGCTTATTTCTTATTGGTGACACATAAAATTTAGTCTACCTAGCATTACTCTATTTTTTTTTCTTGTACGTGAGAGTTATTAGGTTCAACTTCCGAAATAACAAGTTTCGTATCAAAATATGGCTTACTTATTGTGTGTCATAACCTAAATTTCCAACTCCAAATATCATTATATATACATAAAAAATGATTATTACAAGTTTCCAAGTCTCAGTTTCTCTTCTTTTCCAGATGTTGATGAGGACCATATAGAAATCAAGTATTTGCTGCAGGCGTATTGATTAAGGACCTGCTTAGAATGCAAGTTTCATCAACAAAAAAGCCAATGGGTTTGGTGGCTGTTATCATTATATCTTTCTCTTTTTCCCTTGGCCCCCCAACTTATCACTTTGTTATTTCCTCACTCTCACGTCCTAGCTGTGATGTCAAGCCACACTTCATTTAGATAAAACTGCAATCCTTCGTGTTTGGGAGATTAATTAAATAATTAACAGCCAAATTTCGTACTGGAGGGAAAATTATTTGGTAATATAACATTTCATTCATTAAAGTTGTGCTAGCAACAAATGTTTATATGTACGTGAATGACTGTCAATTGTTGATGGTTTGTTAGTGATTTTCAAATGTTATACAAGTTTGTTCCAGAATACATGAACAATTAACAACCATCAACAATGCATCAACTAGAGATAACAAATCAACTCATTGGATTGTTAATGGTACCTATTAAAACCCATTTAGTTTGGTTTCACCTTACACCATTATCACCACTACTAAATCCCAGCTCTATATTATGGTTATATCAATTAAACAAGTCTTAACAAATACGCATTAACAAACCAATAGATTCATTTGCCACCTTTAGTATCAATGACCGACAGATACTCGCATATATAGCTGACTGTCGATACCATTACTCGTGTTCTTACCACCTACATTCTAAGCCGAAAGTAAAAATAGTTATGTAACAAGGTCAGGGCCAAGCCACATATTGTTTCTTAATGGCTTCTAATGTTTGACAGTTCACATGAGCATAATTATACATGTTATAATTTAATTGTTAATAGAGGTCATGAGATTCATGACGTGAAAACCTTCACTATCTGCTTCTTTGTAGTATTTGAAGGTAATTTTTCAATATGAAAATGAATAACCATATTATTTTTAGCTTTTCACACAACCGTATTTAGTTATGTGCTTTGCTTTTGTTTAATTTAATTAATTTTTTGCCCAAAAATAAACAGCAAAGTGTGAGAAACTAAACATTGTGAGTGAAAACCGGCTGCCTTTCCCATATTTGTTATAGAATCACGATGAAAACCAAATTAATCCCGTTGGATATTGAGGAGTATACTGAATTTACTCATCCATTAATTTCATAATATCGGATTGAGAGTTATAGGAATCTTCTCCCGAGCCTCTTCTTAATTATAGCACTCATTTCGTGTAGGAAGAGAGGAATGTACCCGGGTTTATATGTTAGATTCTCCACCTTATTAGTTAATGTCGGATTGTAGCAAGTCGTGTGTCGAGTGTTACAAAAAATGGAGATATATCCGTGAATAAATGCAAGATTACAACTTTTGGATTGCAACAGGAGAACTGCAATCATTTCATTCATTGGAAATTTTTAATACCATACACTGAATATAGTACAATTTTTGTCATTCTTGCTCTTTTTGTAATCCATACGATATTTTCCACACTAAAGGGTAGGGGAGTGAGTTTCATAATGAGCTAGCTATAATAATTTTGTTCGAATTCCCCACTGACAATAACCGAACCTAAAACCTTTCACTTATAAGTAGCATTGAATTACTCATTTTAGTGCCTTATTTGTCTATGTAGCAGTTGGCACCAAATCAACAGTTAATTTAACCGTAACTATAGGCTTTTCCTGTTAAGAGAGCAATATACTTTGACCCAAAAGAGCCAGGTCTCTTTCACAGCTCCCTTTAACCCTAAACAGAATCCAAAGCCAATTACCATACTTTTAACACAGTTTTTATCCTAATATCTAATATATATTGTAACACTGAAAGCTCAAATATTTTCAGTACCCACCATTCAAATTCAAAACTGGTCCTGCACTTGTTTTTTTGGTCAATCAGATGTTATGCAGACTGATAATTTTAAATCCTGTGCAGTTCAACGATTCTTTACCAAAATTAATCAACCAAGATAAAGCTTGAACCAGTCAACTTTTCTATTGTTTTGACCCATGATTAAGCAGTCGTACATTTGTATTACATAGCTTTGTACATAATCTACAGTTAGCTAAGCTACCTGTCAAATGGTGCTAACAACTTAAACTGTTTTTTCTTTTCGTACACGTGATACGACATTGGGGAAGTGGGGAGTCGAACACTGGATCGGGATAACAAATGCAGAGATGAATGTTCTTAACTAATCGAGCTTCAAATGTTTGGCATTTACTGAAAGAGAGAGATGCAAATTTCTAAGCCAAAAACATGTAAATGCAGAAAATATTGCAGAACCAAATATATACGCCCCTATTTTCTTTTAGTTATTTATATATTAACACAAATTACACAAACAAAAACACAAATTAACAGCAACAATTTCTGGATTATAATTTAATTAAAACACCAAAAACTAAATTAAAACCCTTCAAATAACACAAATTACAAAACCGAAAATTTAAATTAGTCATCATGACTCACAACATCTACACTAGCAGAGCAAGACAGCAACCTCTGAAATATTCTGAAGAGAGCAGCAGATGAAAATTCCTTCACTTTCCTGAGAACCAAACACTTACTATTCTTTTTCCTCCCCACTTTTCCCTTCCCTTTCTTACCCTTACTCCCGTCATTATTGTTGTTATTTCCTGCCATCTTCTCCTTCACTCTTCCAAAGCACTTCTGGGTTTTCTCCGGCACGCTCTCTTTCCTTGAAAACTTATAGCTCCTGAGATACATTTGCCTGCATGATATGCTGTCTACCACCCTTGGGTGCCCGTGTCGCAGTGTAGGATCCGTTCGCCGCCCGTTGGAGCTCACCGAGCGCACAAACTCCGCGTCGGACTCGGGCCACTTGTAGAGGTTCACGTAGGTGGCCCGAATTGGCACGCGGGGGTCACGTGCGTCGTTGAAGCAGTTTGATATGCAAACTGAAGTCATTTGTGGAGGTCAGAGGTGTGTGCAAATGGGGTTTGGGGGGGGTTTTATATGGAGTTTGATGTGTTTGGACAGAAAATAAAGGGGTAGACTTAGATTGCAAGAAAAGATATACACAAAACAGAGAGGCAGGGAGAGAGATGAGGGTATATATGTAATTTGGGGTGTGTTAATTATGGTTATGAGTGTGTATAAAATGATGATTTGGCATAATTTGCAATGACGACTTCTTTACATTCTGTCAATATGTTTTTGTGTGTGCTGTTGTTGGGCATGAGTTGGATGGCCTAAACACTTACACGTGGTGGATTACAATAGATGGTAGAGTGTAGTAGCAGAAATTTAGAGTGCGGAAATCACATATGTTTTTATCCAAAAAGCTTTATGAAACATTGAAATAAAGATATAATTTTTACACATTTGTTTTCTCTTCTTGCACCCATCTGTTTAATTTTTATCGTTAATTCTTTTTTATTCGGTTAATTTAATGATCATACACAATTAGAACTGTGTAAGAGGAGGAAAAAAATAAGTGCAAAAATCACTTTCCGAGATATAATCTATTAAAAAAAAATTATGGATTTGTTTCCTTCATTTGTTTGTTTTGAATTTTTTTTTGGCATATATATGGATCGTAACAGCTTAAACAAACAATTTAATATCATAATGTTAATTAAATCTCTAGATTTGGAATCATTCTAAATAGGCTCCTAGCGTCAACTAATCTTACTGGTTAAGTATTTAGATATGTATCAAAATTCCAAGTTTTTTCTTTTATCATTTGGAAAAATTCTTCCATGCTATGTAGGATAAATGCTATGAGCGCTTGAATGACCTAAATTAGTTTGGATTATTGCTTTCCTTGTGATCCCGTAAATTTAAGCTATCCAATTCTCGTAGCACTTAATGCTACATGCCACAAAAGTGAAACTCCATCATTTGACTTCTTTCTCATACTCTCAACTATATACGGGTGGGATTTTTTGCCAGAAATTGATGTACCGACCGAACCGTACCCGTCGACTCCTATTCATACGGTAGTATTTTGGTAAATCTTCATAATCGACTTGTATAAAACTAAAGTGATCCATTAACGATTGGCTTCAGTTTAGAGTGTTGTATACCACAGAGTACCGTACCAGTCGATCATGTTTGATGTTACCTTAAGAAGTTATTATTTGATTTCTGTTTGGGCTAGATATGTCCCTCGCATAACTCCTCTAGGTCTTGCTTGTTATGCAAAGTTTGCTGCTTGGTGTACTACAAAATGAGTTTGTTATTAGCTTTGAATGGTGCCTTTGTGGAGCCTTGAGGCTTACAGTCAAAACTAATATGGTTTTGAGTGTGCCACAGTTATGTTTGTACAACAGATTGTTCTTTCTTAGTTATTAAATGGATTGATTACAAGCACCACAAGTTATTTAGACTTCTTGGTTCGATTGGATTGTTTACAGATGGGTTAAGTCTGTATAAAGTTCTTTTTCTTGCCTTGTAAGTAAGGACTTATACTCATAATATCATATGTCCAATTAAAGGGAGTTTAGGGCCCTTCAGATTATCTCTTTGGTTATGGCTAACGCTAAAGAAGCAAGGTTAATTCGTTTAATAAGATTAATCATAGATAAAACTTTGAATGAAAAGCAGTCGAAAATGATGTAAGATACAATGAAAGATGCATAAACAACAGATCTACTTTATGTAAGTGCAAACAAAAGAGACTCAGGCAAGATTATGACCTTGTTAGGCAAGGATCGTCTTCTTGCAACCATTTCTCTTTGTGTTTTATAAGGGTTGTAATCTTTGGAGAATGAAATATAAATCTAGTTTACTAGAGGGATTCAATACTACAACACAGGGGAAAGGTAGCAGAGCTTCTAAAACTTGACAAAAGATGGCTTTCTATGGTGGACCTACAACTAAAAGGGTAAAGTTTGGACAAACTAAAGCTTTCTGATTTCTTGCTTGCTTGAGTGCAAAGTTGGATGTCTTTTGATTGATTGGTTGAGTGTCCTTATTCCTTGTGTCCTTCGTTGCTTTTATAGCCTCGCCTTTTGGTGATGGCCTCTGGAGTATGGTGAGTCACCATTTATTTACCTATCCATGCCCTTGAAAAGTAATTTTTGCTGGGGGTGAGCTGCCCTCTGAGTGTCATTTCTCACATAGGTTTGTTGCCTATTTTTCTTGGCAAAAAATGATTTTTAATTCTTCCTGGGTTGTTGACTTGTCCAAGCCCAATCCTCCTTCTACTTTTTGAGTTCTTGGGACTCCAATCACACTATGCCTAACATTAAATATCCACTCAAACAGTGCCTCTTTTAATCATTGTTAAGTCTGCTAATCAAGATATTGATAATGATTAAAATTAATTGCATGCTGAAACTAGGTATTATCACCTCTTAATTAGCCATTTTAAATAAACCTTTGCACCAACCCATGATTTCCAAAGTTAACTACCTGCCCGTTAATAACTTCCACTTTTCTCTTTTCGGCCATCTTATTCAGCAAACTTGATTTTCTAAACTTCCAAATCTCTTAAATTTTCAGCCATTTCTTGCCTCAATTTCTAGCCCCCTTTTCACTTTTTTATCTTGAATTCAACAATGGCTCCCAAATCATGCCCTGTATACGAGTTTGGAGAGGGTATTGTCAGTCTTCGCTGTTGGCTCAATGGCCTTCATCGCCCTCGGGCTGGACTTAATCTGTCCATTTTCTTCGAGGAATGAGGAGTGCATTCACTGGGGCCCGCTTGGAATTCCAAAGTTCATGTAGCTGTGGAAAGCAATATGGCCGCTGCCAACTGGTTCACTATCTCTGCTCCAAAGTGGTATAGCTTCAAGACGGGTTTCCCGTTAATGAATGATGAAGCCTGGTCTAAGTGGGTGGATAAATTAAAGTCCATCTGGAATAAGAAGTGGATGACAAAAATGGCATCTATGAGCTTATCATGATGTCCAAGACCATTATCCCCATCAAGCATGAGTTTCTCTCAACAACTCTTATTTTCTGGAACACAGAGACCAATACCTTCAATACAGAATGGGTCTCATGACTCTCATCATCCTGGATATGGCTCAGGTTTTTGGTTTAAGGTCATTGGGCAGGTGTGTAGACATGTCATCATCCTCACGCCTGACTGCTGAAGGCTCAAAGACTTCTCAGTCTTTCATCAGCTTGGAGTATAACTCTACCATTATCAAGAGCTATGAGACTTCTTTCATGAGCTTCATATCTTTTACCAAGAAGATGTTCAGCCTGTTTTCCCTCACTGCTGACCCAGCTCAATAGCACATGTACCTTTTCTTATATTGGTTGAATAAACATGTGTTTCTTAACAAATCCAAATGAGTGAAGTTGGAATGGGTCCCCTTGGTGGAAGCGTTGCATTCCTTTGATGATGTCGCCACCGACCTTTTCTTTCTGGCACATCTCTATCATCTTTTATGAGATGACAATAAACCATCCTTTTGAAACCAGCGGCAATAAAGCTACCTAGATGGTGTAGCTATGGCTTCAATAGTACTACCCCGAATGTTGGGCTGTCAACTTGGAGTTTCCTGAGGAAGTAGCTCCTGCCCAAATTCTAGCAGAGGCTCCCACCACCAACCACTCCACCTTAACTTGCCTCTATTTCTTCAGAATATGTAAAACTCAGGTTAATTTGGAATGGGGTGCCTCAATGCTCAGCAGATACCCTTAGTTCTCGGACAACATCTTCCAGGATTCTTTTGGGGAGGATGCTAGCAGCTTCTGCAAGGAGAAATTCATTAACGGCATCCAACAAAGGGACTTAGCATAAGGAGTCAGGAGTGACTGAGCGGGCTATGAACACGGGCTGGAGGTCTACCACCCCAACTTCTGTGGTAGACAACTGGGGTATAGACAAGCAATTCCAGTCCTTTTTTTCGATTCAGTCGAGTGTGGAACTTCATATCACCTTTATTTTCCTTTAGAGGCCATGTTTCGAGCAAGCAGGTGCAACTTGGAGGTAATGAGCAAGATAACTCATAAGCCCGTGGCCATTAACTTTAAGTGCACGTCTCTGTTCACCACTTTGTGGGAGGCCAAGTGGTCTAAGAAGTATGATGGAGATGTTAGAGAAGCCCATGATAGGATCTTCGGGCAAGTTTTCTTCAAGTCATTTTCCAAGAAAGAAGAGTTTGAAAGCTGGAAAGAGGCCATCAATCATAAAAACCAACTTTTGTTGATACGTAACCTACATTATTGCCCATTTCCTTTACTTCATATTTTCATAGTTTGTGATTGCTATCTATCTCCTTAATATTATAGCCCAAGGTAATCCTCAGAAAATGGATGTCGGGCCAGAAGAAGAGGTTGTTGATGCCTTGGTTCTTCAGGAGGCTGTTGTAGAGGCAACTAAGCAAAGAGCGGGTTCTAGCCATGTTTCTGAGGATGCTAGGAACATCTCTGAGATGTTCAATGAATAAGAGACAGAAGCTGGGCTGCAAGCAGAGACCAGGGCTCCTTGTCGGGCAAGATCTTCTGTTGTAGAATCTTCTATTTCTGAGCCCGAATGGAGGCCTCAAGCTAGACCTAATCTTCTTGCTCTAAGAGCCACTCTAACCAAGAAGAGAACCAGGTCTTATGCTTCTCAAGTCTATAGATCTTCTTCTGCCCTTTCAATTAAAACGGGCAGGAAAAAACCCGTAGTCTATCAATAAGTGATTCAAACTTGATTTTTCTTTATTTAATTCATCTCCTTAAGTCTTAAACTGATCATGTTCTTTCTTGTGATTAGGACCTGCTATTAGCAAAAAGCTTGATTCTTATCCCCAAGAGATGAAGGCAAGTGTGGAAAGGCAGCAAATTGATAAGGAGGTATTTGCTAAGATCTTGGAGCAATTAAAGGTAGTTTTCTTGAATCTTTGAGCACTTAATTATTTCTAAAATTCATCTCTTGTACTCAGCTAGTTTTTGTTGTTTTCCAAAACAGGCTTCTAAAGAAGAATGGACTTCTCAAACTAAGTCTTCTTCATTCCAACCTGACATGTGCGTCTTTCTTCTCCTCGAGCTGAGTCGTCAGTCGAGCAAGCACCCGCTCCTTCTTCTTCTTCCATTCCTCTAG